TTGCTGCAAAGCTCGCTGTCCAAGCAACACAGCTGCCTGGCTCCTGAAGAACAGGGCTGTGATTCAAAGGCCACAGAACAAAGCTTGAATAATAAACACAGCCAGGTGTGGTGGGTGTACACTTGTAATCCTAGTGCTTGGGAGGCTGAAACAGGAGGATTGCCCCAAGTTCAAGGCCATCCTGGACTACACACGAGACCCTGTCTTTAAAAAGGTTGGCGGGGGGTGTGTGGCAAACAATTTGAGTTTGAAGATCTGGAGTTCAAATTGCCATTTAACTATGAATTTGGACAAGTCACTTTACCCCTGCGAATTATGTAAAACAGGATGCTGAGGCAAAATTACAAGTTGGAGTCCAGTCTAAGCAACATATCTACCTGTAGCCTGTCTTAAAAGGGGGTGCGAAGCTGGACGTGGTGGCTCATGCCTGTAATCCCAGCACTCAGGAGGCAAGGCTGAGGCAAGAGGATCACTGTGAGTTCAAGACCAGCCTGGGCTACATAGTGAGTTCCAGATCAGCCTCAACTACATAGTGAGACCCTGTCTCAACAAAAAAAAGGGGTACAGTGCATCTCAGTGCAACAGCCCTGCGTTCTATCCCCAGTGCTCACACACACACACACACACACACACACACACACACACACACACACAGATACTATCCAGCCCACAGCATATACTCAGGAAATTTTTATTCTTTCATTTTTCCTTCCTTCTTTTCCTAAGAGCAAAGTAATTCAGGTGAACCCAAATTTGTTCTCCCTCCCCATGTACTAAATTACACACAAAAAAAAAATATCAGCTTGCTGTTTTAAAAGCAGTGTTGGTCTATATAGATCATTTGTGGGTCCTTGGCTTTAATACTTTGTATCGCACACTCTGGTTTTTTACTATAAAAAAGATTACAGTCTCAGTCAAACTCCATCAGCGATACTGCAGTGCAGCACATCTGTTCTCTAGATGTGCTCTGTGAGCTGCAAGGTCAGATATCCCTACCTCCCTCTCCACACACAGTGGGCCTGTTTGGGTTCTCAGACGAGCACCCATTTGAGCACCTGCATTTCAAAAGGTGAGCAAAGCACTGCCAACCCCTGCGATGCAGATCAGATTCCCAGTGTGACTGTAACACAACTGAGGATGGACTCTGTGACTTACCACCTAGGTTTGAGCCCGAAATTACTCCAGAGCTGGAAACAAACCCAGGGGCGAGGCATGGTGGCACACATCTGTCATCCCAGCACTCAGGAGGCTGAGGCAGGAGGATCACAAAGTGTGAGGTCAGCCTGGGCTACATAGTGAGTTAAAGGCCAGACTGGAATACAGAGAGACCCTGTCTCAAAAAAACAGGAGATGAGAAAAAAAAGTTGACAAAATCTCATGTTTGGAAAGAAGGAAGTTTCTCCAGTGGCTTGAGCATCACCAGGCAAAGCTTGCACTTTCTGCTGGGGTGGGGACTCAGTCTTGATTTCTCCAGGAGGAGCCATGCTGCCACACTGTCCACTCCTTCCTGAGGAAGCAGTCTTTCTCCTTAAACACTGTGTGATGAGCGCCCCCGGAACCAAAATAACAATGATGATAATGTGATGAGTCAAATTCAGTTTTGAAGATACCGAGGCTCTAGTTCAAGCCCACCCTGGATAACTTAGCACTTAGAGAGACCCTGTCTCAAAACACAGTAAAAGAAAAAAAAAAGGCTAGAGATGTAGCTCAGTGCAAAGGCCCTGGGTTCTGTCCCCAGTACCACACACCAAAAACTTTAAAAATTTTTAATTTAAAAAAATTTTCAAAGCCAGGGCTGGATATGTTGGCTAAGACAGGCTCATGAATTTGAGCCCAGCTGGGCAATTTAACAACTTAATGAGACTCTGTCTCATAACCTTTTTAAAACTTGGTTTGGAAGCCGGGTGTGATGATGCACACCTGTAATCCCAGCACTCAGGAGACTGAGGCAGGAGGATCACTGTGAGTTCGAGACCACCCTGGGCTACATAATGAGTTCCAGGTCAGTCTCAACTACATAGTGAGACCCTGTCTCAAAAAAACAAAAACAAACAAAAAAAAAACTTGGCTTGGTGATTCATGCCTATAATCCCTGTGCTTTAGAGGCTGAGGCAGGAGGATTGCCATGAGTTTGAGGCCAGTGTAGACTACTCAGTGAGACCCTACCCTATCTCAAAAAACTTTTTAAAAAAAATTTTAAAGGATTGGAGATGTAGCTCATTGTAAAGGCCCTGGGTTCAATCCTCAGTACACACACACAAATTTGAAGTATCCTAAGCATTCTAAATTGAAGATTTTTATTTTAAGATACTATTTTTTAAAACAGGCCAGTTGCCTATCTGAAAGTACACCTGTGACTGCTTTGCTCCTCTTCAGCACTGTCAACTTCACTTTTGATTTTTGGTACCTGCGATCGAACTCAGGTTCTTACATTTGCAAAGCAGGCGGCAGAACCACTGAGCTAAATCTTTGGCCCCTCAACTTCACTTTCCTGGCTGCAGGAACTGCTCCTGGTCCAGCATCCTCGAGGGAGCCTGGCATCAGACCCACCCAGTGCGACCTTGCGATGCCTGAGGGGCCACACCCAGATTCCTGCCCCTTAGAAAGTGCGATGACATCTTGGCATGGTTCATAGAGGGTGGCAGAACACACAACACACATGAATTCAAGGAAAGGCCGGCAACGGAGGCACTTGCTGTTTGTGCCATCCCAGGGTGAGTGAATGTGGGCCTGGCACAGGGATCACATACCTGGCTGGCAGCCTCTCCAGGCCACTCAGAGCCACCCCCTGCCTGCTTGAAAGCCCCCCTCGGTACGTGGGAAGTAAACAGCATGTCCAAGCAGTGCATGGTCTCATGCTGGTAATCTCAGCAGGCAGAGGCAAAAGGAGCACTGCAAGGCCAGCCTGAACCACACAGGGAGACCCTGTCTGAAAATACCAAAAAAAGCAAAAACAAAAATACTCTACAGGCAGACCCCAGACCTTCATATCCATGCCAGCTGACCATGAATCACACTGGCTCTGAGAAGACAGTCCAGACAGGGACCAGCACAGGCAGGCAGTGGCCGTCACCCCTTTGTTCAGGTCACTCCAGGGGACAGCTGAAGGTGACAAGCACTTGGTGAGGAGGACACAGTGATGCACTATACACTGATGGTAATGAGAATAAACACTCAGCCAGACACGCTGAATGTGCTGCAGAGAAACCATCTAAACGAGTGCACAGGCATGGGGACATGGTTAGCCATGCCTGTAACTGTAGCACCAGGGCAGGCTGAAGCAGGAGGGCCACCAAGAGTCTGAGACCAGCCTTGTAGCAAAACCCTGCTTCACAAAAAATTTTAAGCGGGGGCTGGTGATGGTAGAGCACCACTGGGTTTGAACTCCAGTACTACAAAAAAAAAGGGCAGAGCAATCCTGTTCCTGCTTTTAGCTGTCAGCCACATTAACCAGTTTCTATTGTTCTTGTTTTGTTTTTTGCAAGGCTGGGGATTGAACCCAAGGCCTTATGTGGGCTAGGTCAGTTCTCTACCATGGAGGGACATCTCAGCCCCACTATCTTCTTTTGTTTTACCTTGTAAAAAAAAAAGTCTAGCAAGGGGCCAGAGATTTAGCTCAGTGATGCTGCCACCTGCCAGACAAGCACAAGGTCCTGAGTTTAAACCCTGGTACCAAAAAAAAAAAGCCTACGAAGAACTCAACCAAAAATATTAAAAACTATCAAGATAATTCAAAGTGCAGTGAAGTTTGCCCTAATTTTATATTGTACCCTGAATGATGTTATTAGTGGTAGCACCTATATAAAAAGTGTGTGTGTATGTGTTTTCAACTTTTTACCAGTAAGAATAAACAATTTTTTAAAAAGTCCAGGCACGCCTGTAATCCCAGCACTTGGGAGGCTGAGGCAGGAGGATCACTGCAAAGTTAGGCCAGCCTGAACTACATACACAGTGACACCATGTCAAAAAAAAACACAAAAAGGGGCTGGGTATGTAGTTTAGTGGTGCCACGCCGGTCTGGCAAGTGCAAGGTCCCGAGTTTGATGGCCCAGTAACATAAAAAAACATACAAAAATACATTTATGCCAGGTGTGGTGGCATATGCCTGTAATCCCAGCACTCGGGAAGCTGAGGAAGGAGGATTGCCATGAGTTCAAGTTCAAGGCCCGTGTGAACTACAAGACCCTGTCTAGAAAAAAAATTTTTTTTAAATAGGCGCAGGGCATGGTGGCACATGCCTGTAATCCCAGTATTACAGATACGCAAGTCAGGCAGAAGACACAGCCAGAGAGGCCTTGGGCCCAGGTAGACCAAGGCAACCAAACCTCGGTCAGATGAGCAGGAGCCTGTGGTCAAGAGTCAACAAGAACTAGGTGGACAGTTAAGTCCAGGGTATAACAATTGACATAACAGCAAGATGGCAACTCGGCTCCTATGTTGTTGGAAAATGTTTTCTCCTTCTCACTGTTCTTTTAATGGAGCACTTGGATAGAAGACAGACCAAGAGGCACCTGCAAACATACACAGTTCCTCCATGCCCTGACTCCTCATTGGCCCATTTCTCATTTAAGTAAGCTGGTTTTAGTCCTACAGGTTGACCTTAGCTTGACTTGGTGCTGTCTGAGCACTGGTCAGTTTTTGGTATAAAAACTCCTAGACCAGCCGGGCATGGTGGTGCACACCTGTAATCCCAGCACTTGAGGCTGAGGCAGGAGGATTGCTGTGAGTTCAAGACCAGCATGAGCTACAGTAAGTTCCAGGTCAGTCTCAACTACACAGTGAGACTCTGTCTCAACCCCCGCCGAAAAAAACACACACACAAACTCCTAGACAAAGAGACCCCATGGCAACCCACTTTCAGGTCCCCTACCCACTATTGGGAACTGTTTCTCTCATAATAAACTGTCCTGGTCAGGTGTGGTAGTGCACACTTGTAATCTCAGCACTTGGGAGGCTGAGGCAGGAAGGTTGCCATGATTTTGAGGCCAGCCTGAACTACATAGTTCAAGGCCAGGCTGAGTAACATAGTAAGACCCTGTCTCAAAAAAAAAAATCAATAAACATTCCTCCTGCCTACCTCCTTTGTCCTCAGCATCATTCTGTGACCTTGTGAGGCACCGGCCCAGATTATGCCATTATACAAGCAATCAGGAGGCTGAGGCAGGAGGATCACCATGAGTTTCAGACCAGCCTGGGCTACATGGTGAATTCAAGCCTGGCCTGAACTGTACACTGAGAATTGGTCTCAGAAAGAAAGAGAGAGAAGAGAGAGAAAGAAGGAAGGAAAGCACAAGACTACAGGAGTTTATGGCATTTTCTATCCTAAATGTTAGAGTCCAGAACCACCAGTAGGATCCACCTGAATATAGAGTTTAAAAAGAAAACAGGAAAACAAAACAGTTGTGTATTTGTCCTCCTCCTTCATGGGGCATTTTCTCAGACTCAGTGCCCTCAGCCCCATTTCCACTGTCCCAGCTCCTGCTGCTGAGCGCACAAGTTCTTCCCTCCTTCACCCCTCCACTGACCCTGAGCTAGGGCAGCGGGAGGCAATGGCGCCCCCCACGTGCCTTGAGCACCATGGCAGCAGCTTTTGCTGCCTGGGTGACACCTGTCAGGCGTGGGCCATGGGCCCAGGGAGGAGGAAAGGCCTGGCTGCTTCCAGAATGTCCAGCTTGGGGTCCAGTGAGCGGCCCAACCCCTCCAGCACCATGATGGCGAACACGACGGAGGCGAAGTTGCTCTCCAGCTTCACCTGTGACAGAAGAAAGATTGGTCCTTCCCGACACCTCTCTGGTGAAGACACATCCCCCGCCCCCGCGCCATGTCCCCATTTGTGGGACTTTGACCTTCTACCTAACATACTGGCCTCATCCCAGCATTTCCCACACCTCTCGCCCCAGAACCAGAGCAGCGAGGCCGAACAAGACGTCGTCCGGGCCTCTCAGGGCCCCAGACAAGGGGCCCCCACTCCTGCGCAGCCCCTCAGCCCAGGCTTCTTCCTAGTCCGTGTGTGTGGCACACAATGGTTCGTGGATGTGACACTCAGTTCTCCCACCACTTCCCCTGCATCTCTTGGTCCCTTTCACATCTGCAAATGATCTAGCTCCCTGTTTCCTATGATCTATCTTCTACTTTGCTCGTTCGTTATGTTTTGGGTTTCTCATGCAAGAGAAACAACCATGTGACACTTAAGCTTGTGTGTCTTGTTTCATTTAACATTATGGTCTCAAGGTGTATCCATCTTCCTCAGATGACTCAGCTTTATCCTTCCTTGTATCACATAGTACTCCATGGTGTGTAAATGCCACATTCTCTTTATCCTTTCATCTGCTGATGAACACAGAGTCAGACTCAACTTTACCCTAGGTAGGAAGAGCAATGTGTGACCTACCTGAGTATCAAGTTCACTACCAGGGCTTTGTGTGTGCCCTGCCATTGGGCTATACGTTCAGCTCTTTTACTAGTTAGTTATTTGAGACAGAGTCTTGCTATAGAGTTCAGGCTGGCCTTGAACCTGCAGTTATCCTCCTGCCTCAGCCTCCTGGAGTGCTAGGATTACAGTTGTGCACTACCACACCCAGCTTTACCCTTTTATTTTTATTTTGAGACATGGTCTAGCTAAACTGCTTGATCTTCCTGCCTCAGCCTACCAGGTAGCTGGGATTACAGGTGTGTACTGCCACACCTGGCTGTTTTTACACATTTAAACACATTTTCTGTAGATCTAAGTGTCACAGGTACTCAGACTGACTGCAGAGACCCGCCCAGCTCTGGAGGAAGGCAAGGCCCCAAACTGCCTCTGATGAAGACCCATCCTGTGTTACGTCCCCACCAGCTTCCCTGGCCACATCCCCTCTCCCGGGGCCTCACCTTGTGAGTCATCAGCAACTTGAAGACACTGGAGAGGAGGCTGGAGACCTGCAGCTGGGAAGAGGAACACGCGGGGATACAGATGTAGAGCCTTCAGGACCCTTCTGGCCACGCCGACGGCCACCTCCCCTCAGTGGGTGGGAAGGGAGCAGCCCCTCCCGGGCCCCCTCAGACCAGCGCTGCCACCCACCTTCTCCAGGGTAATGCTGTCCCTCCTGGCCTGGGTCACCAGTGCAGCCATCTCCACCTTGAACCCCTCCACGTCGCTGCACTCACTGGCCCGGGCATGGTGCAGTATCAGCTCAGCCACTCTGTGGCCCTGGAAAATGCCAACGAAAGTGGCTTGCTCAAGCTGAGTCAGCAGAAAGCAGACCTGGGGGAAAGGCCACTGATTTCTGAGGTCCCTGCTAGCCGGGAGTCACCTCTGGTCCTCAAAGCGGGGTTAAGGAAAGGTGGTGCCGGTCTCCTCAGCCCTCCAGGGCCCCCATGGGTCCTGCGGACTTCCTGGCCCAGCCCTCAACCACCAGGTCACCCAAGACCCCACTGACCAAAGCCCAGAGGGCTCCTCAGACAGCGCATCCCAGCGGTCATCTGAGTGCCTTTCACCTCCTGAAGCATGGTCCTGGGAACCCAGCTGTTCCTCTCAGGACTGTGACCTTTGTCCTTTACCCAACCTGTCCGGAGAACAGCAGCCCCAGGCACAGTACCCTGACGTTAACAGGGGACACTCGAGCTGGCTCCAGGCTCCAGCTTGCGCTTGGCTCCTCAGGAGCCACCTAAGCAGGACTTGTATCTTTTTTTTTTTTTAATGTTTTTAAAGACAGGGTCTTGCTAAAAAAAAGAAGACAGGGTCATGCTATGTAGTCCATGCCAGCCTTGAACTCACCTGAGCGCAGAGATGACAGCATGTGCCTCCACACCCAGCTAAATAGGCTTTGCCCCATGATGCTTTTTCTCTACATCACAGCGCTGGCCTGCTGTGGCCCCTCCAGATGAGAGGACCCACACCACAGGTCCCCATGTGCCCTGCCCCATGCAGGGGTCACGTTCTCCATACTGTGGCTTCTTCCCATCTGGCCATCTTGTGGCACGGGGTCAAAAAGCTGACACCAGGCTTGGGGGCAGGTACCAAGCATGGATAGGCACACCTGTCATCCTAGCACTCGGGAGGCTGAGGCAGGAAAATCACGAGTTCAAGGCCAGCCTGGGCTATCTTGGCGTCCCTACAGAGAAGCAGGCTGAGTACTGCATCAAGGCACAGCCAGCCTACAGGATACTGTCCAGTGGGTCTTACCTGGCCCAGCACCACGGCCAAGAACACAGCCCGGAAGTTCCTCAGGTCAGAGGCCTGCAGCTCAGCCACGATGCCAGCATCCAGCAGTACCAGACGCAGTGGGCACAGGACTGGTGCCACAGCCACCACCAGCGGGTCACAGACATCCACCTGCTGTGGCTGCGCCTCACGGCCCGGGGACAGCCCATCAGTGCCCTGCACCAGGATGTTTCCAGGGTGCAGGTCTGCATGCACAAAGTTGTCCACAAATATCTGGAAGGAAACATGCGGCTCATGACCAGGTCACCCAGCGCAGAGCCACCCGCAGAACAAGCATCATGGCAACAGGGAGCCTCCGGGGGTGCCTCAGCACAACAGCAAAGAGGGATGCTGCTTACAAAGCCTCATCTGCACAGCACCAACTCAGGATTTGTACAGGGACAAGCCAAGCTGTGGTTCTCAAGAGAAATTATTTTCTAAACAATGAGCAGTTTGGGTCATTAATGTTCTAATTTAAGAAAAATTATACAAGGATCCGAGTTCGATTCCCAGTACCAAAAAAAAATTATTAATTCATTGTTTAAATGTTTTATCTAGAGCTCTGTCTCGCCCCTAGTACTGATAGAACCAGGGCCTGTGCACAGGGCTGCATCCCCAGCCCCTTCTGTACTGAGTCAAGGTCTCACTATATTGCTAAATTGTCCACGCTGGGCTTGAACTTCCAGTCCTCCTGTCTCAGCCTAATCCCAGGGCTAGGATTACAGGTGTGTGCTACCATGTCCAGTGGAACTACATTTCTTCAAAAACAGTCATACAGCTGGGCAGTGGTACAAACCTATATCCCAGTGTTCAGGAGGCTGAGGCAGGAGGATCATTTGAGTCTAGGAGTTGGAGACCAGCTTGGGCAACATAGCAAGACCTCATCTCAAAAAAAGAAAAAAAGGTTCACACATCAGACTTTCCCTCGTTGCCATCAGTGAGGCCTGTGGTGAGAGACAGTAATCACCAGCCACCAGAAGTCCTTCCTTGGGGGCCAAGGGCAGCAACCGAGGTCCCTTCCCAGCCAGCCGGACCTTGTCACCTATGCCTCAGCCACTGTCTTCTGTCCCAGGCCTCAGATCAGCTGGCACCTCTCTGTTCCTCCTGGTACGATGCCCTGACTAACATGGCACAGCTGCACCGGGTCCTCTTGGGGACATCAACTCGTGCTCACGTTGTGCCACCAGCCAGGCTCTTGAAGACAAAGCCTGTAGACCAAGGAAGTAACATGCCTCACTCTCCCCTCCCTGCCCTGGCCCTAGGCAGCAGAGCTGAGGTCGGAATCCAGACTGGGTCAACAGCGCCCGCCCAGGCTCCCCACCTCCAGGCGTTGTCCCTGAGCTGCCCGGCCACCTGCCATGTTTCCTGTGCAGCTCTTCCTAGGCCCACAGCAGCAGTGTGATGCCTTCTTGTCCACTCAAGCCTGCCGTCTCCTACCCTGCCTGTGCCCTGGGGAACAGCAAGTCTCTCCACTGACAAGGATGTGGAGCCTCCAAACCCCTGGTCCCACACAAGGCTTTCTCAATTCACAGCTGGGGGAGCAGAGGGCTGGCTGATAGCCAGGGGTAACCACCCTGGCCATGACAACCTGGCACAGCCCCAGTGTGGCCAGCTGATATCCCCACTGGGAAGCCCGATCCAGCCTTTATGGGATGGAATAGCCCTCCTGGGGAGGCGAGGCCCACACAGCTTAGCCCTGCAGAGCCCTGGCTTCAGGCATAAGGCAATCAACCCTGCCGAGGGCTCCCAGAGACAGGGAGGCCCAACTATGTCAAGAACCAACATCAGCCAGGGCGTGGTGGGGCATGCCTGTAGTCCCAGCACTAGAAGTCCGAGGCAGGAGGATCACCACAAGTTGGAGGCCAGCCTGGGCTACCTAGTGAGTTCAAGGCCAGCCTGAACTACATAGTGCGACCCTGTCTCTAAAGACCAAAAAACAAAGAATCAACATCAGCCCGATGTAATCCCAGCAATATGGGAAGCTGAGGCAGGACTGAAAGTTTGAGCCCAGCGAGGGTAACAGACAGCAAGACCTCGTCTCAAAATAAAAAAGAAAAAGGCTAAGGATGGAGCTCAGTGCAAAGGCCCTGGGTTCAACCCCCTGTCACAGACCACGCCTTGCTCAGCCCTTCCCAAGCATAGGTCTCCGCTGGTGTTGGCCCTGCCCGCACACCGTGCCCTGCGGGCTGTGCCACACTCACCATCTTCAGTAGCATGTTGATGCCCAACCGTGCAATCCTCTGCTTCAGCTCAGCAGGGATCCCTGCCCGCTGGTAGCTGGACACAGGCACACTCTCCTAAAAGAGCAGGAGACAGGTTAGCCTGGCTGCTGCCCCATGCCATCCCCTGTCCCCTGCACCCTGCCCCAGGGACAACTGGGTGCTGCCTTCCTTCTCATGGGGAGTGTACTCAGGGAGAAAACTTCTGAGTCCAGTCTTCTTATAGCAGTTTAGGAATCTGTCACCTGCATGTTGGTTTTAACCTATTTACATTCCTTTTGTGTTTGTTTTTATTTTTTGTGGTGTTAGGGATTGAACTTGGGACCTTATGCTTGTGAGGCAGTCGTGGCACCACTGAGCTAAATCCCCAGCCCTGCTTTTTTTTTTTTTTTTTTGTTTTTTTGAGACAGGGTCTCACTATGTAGTTGAGATTGATCTGGAACTCACTATGTAGCCCAGGCTGGCCTCAAACTTGAGGCCACCCTCCTGCCTCAGCTTCCTGAATGCTGGGATTTCAGGCATGTGCACCACCAATTCTGACTATATTTCCCTTCTGTGACACTTCTCAAAGGACAAATCCCATGGGCTCACAGGAAAGTGCTGAGAGCTAGCAGGAATCAGCCAACAGGGCAGGGGGTGAGGTGGGACCTTGGGCAGGAAAATGTAGAGGGAAAGGAAAGTAGGAGATAGGAAACTGCTGATAAGTCTTCATGTGGCTTAGGTCCTTCAGTGTCAAAGCTACCACTGAGATGGACCTTGTCACCCCTCATGAACAAATAAGAAAAGGAAAAGCCCAAGAGTGCAAGCCACTTCCACCCTTCTCTAGGTCACTAGCAAATGGGATAGCAGAGGTTTTCAAATCTAAGGAGTTTGGAGGGTCTAGTGGTGCACACCTGTGATCCCAGCACTTGGGAGGCTGAGGCAGGAGGATCACTGTGAGTTTGAGGCCAGCCTGGGCTACATAGTGAGTTCAAGGGCAGCCTGAACTACATAGCGAGACCCTGTCTCAAATAAATAAATAAAATCTAGGGAGTCTGAGGCCATGGGTAGGGCTATGCCACTGCTCTTCCTACCAAGTTCCCCACTCCTCCCTCATTTCAGACGAGTCACCTCCAGAGGGAAGGGCACAGCCAGACTCTCACCTCATATGTTTCCACCAATATATCCCTGGTAACAAAGGGGCGCAAAGGTGTGGGGAATTTGACTGACGTCACGTCCTGAAAGTTGCGCTGGAAGTGTTCTAGATTCCGAGCTTCATAACGCAGGTCGATCTAGAGGAACACAGAGGCACAGTGGTCTCACCTGGGCACAGGGACTGCCTAGGCTGGCAGGTCAAATGGCTGTCTCCGAAGATCTCCACTCAAACTCCTGTCCACTGCACACAGGAGATTCCTGTTAGGATGTGGCCATCACAGCTTCTCCCTGGCTCTGTCTGGATGGGTCCCTGTCCCCAGGCTTGACTCTGTTGCCATCCCTGGCAGCCTGGTGCCCTACCACCCCTTCCCTCTCCATGCCATGCAATCTGCCTGCTGGGGAAGCATCTGATAGAGAGAACTTCTGTAAGTAGTCTGAAATCTACAAAATGTTAAGGAAATATAGAATAACTGCTGCCTTTTGCATCTGTAATTTGCTTTGCCTTGCTTGTTTCTTAGGACAATACCAGAGGTTTCACTGTTAAAGCTTGAAGGCATGTAGCCTCAGTTTAAAATGTTAACAAATGCCAGGGGTGCTTAGCCAAATCCCCAGAGTGAGGCCAGATGTTCAAACTGAGATAACAGTTGCTATGCCCTAAGCCCTAAACTTTCTCACCAGTCCTGCTTTCCTAACCCTGACCCCCACTCTTATAGGCTAGAACACCTAAACATCCTAAAAGAGAATGCTACCTTTGGGTTAACACTGAACTGTCGTGTAACCATGATTTGTGATGGGAACTGTGGGAACTGGAATGTCTTATCAAACACCTAAAATGAGGTCATGATTGTAAAACTCCTATAAAAGGCAGATTGTAAACCAGCCCAGGGTCTGTCATTTAGCACAGCCATTGGTGCAGGCTGACCCTTTGCTAGCAAAGTAAACATTTTTTTGCTTTTGTTTTACCCACTCTTGTGTCTCTGTGTGTCGTTTAGCAGTTCCTTTTCCCAACACATCCACTCAGGCTGGCTCCTCCACCTCAGGGCTGCCCTGCCTGTCACCTGCTGCGCCAATGCTGCCCCTGCTAAGCTTGCAACAGCCTTGCCTTTGCCAGGCTCAAAAATCAACTCAGTTCTTTTATTTTTGTTGTTTGTGGTACTGTAGATTGGACCCAAAGCCCCTCACTGTACTGCTGAACTACATCCCCAGTCCTTTTCCTTTTTGAGAGAGGGTCTCACTAAATTGCTCCAGGCCAGCCCTCAACCCCAGTCCCCAGGCTGACATATTCTACTACAGCTGAAGTCCGGAGTAGAGAAGTCTACTTTTTTTTTTTTTTTTTTTTTTTTTTTTTTTT